CCCCAAAACCCCAAAACCCCAAAACCCCAAAACCCCTAATTCTAGAAGAACCATTGTAAAATTAATTAACCAAATTAGTAATGGACCAAAAAGATATCAATGAACTAAAGGATGCTCATCTTGAGAAGTATATCCCAATCATTGGCAAACACCTTAGCAGTTGGAAGGATGTGATTACTGAAAAAGATGCGGTGATATTTAGACTATCGGGTTTGTCTAATATAACATGTATGGTTAAAGCAAAGAGCAAAAGCGTGAGTCCAAGATATGTCATTTTCAGGTAAACCCGCTCTCATAAAAATCTAGAGTTTTTGATAATGAACTATGATCCAATGAGCTGGAATCTAGCGTCTTCGAGTGACTCTCTGACCAAGGACTAGGGCCAGTATGATTCTTCCAGAATGAGCATTACAGAATCGAACAGAGTTTCGATGCTAAGCCAATCACTATTTTTGAAATGAGGAACCCGGTGTTTATGAAACAGATCATTCAGAAAACTTTTAAGCTGAATTATAACCAACAGCTTAAACAGACTATGATCGATCTACAGGGTGAAAAGCCTCCAACTCAGGTCGAGGTTATTCAAAATGACTGGCTCCCTAAGCTTAGAAAAAGATTCGACCATCTTTATAGCTTGATTACCTTTGATGACTATATTGAGACAATGGATATTGTCAAAAAGGAGTTTCTTAGAGAGGATATTGATGAATTTTTAAATGCTCTCACATTCGGCCTTTATGACTCCACTGACGAATCTGGTGGTGAGAAGGACAGAAACGACCCATTGGTGGTGAGCCATAATGATATTCAAGAGTGAAATATTTTGTCTATGAGACATCATGCCTCTAACCTTGCTATTATTGATTACGAATATACTTCTCTGGGCAACAGGGAGTATGATTTGGCAAATATTTTCTGTGAATTAATCATGGATAATGCTTATCCCTACTTCCCCTTCATTGCTCTATATCCTGAGAACTGTCTGACTAAAAAGGAGTTTATCACTTACAGTAAACATTACTTGGGCCTCTATCATGATAACTTTGGTGTGCCTGAGGAGACTAAGGAGCAGTACATTGAGAGAGAACTTCCTGTATTCCTTGAAAACCTCTATTGCTCAATGATCCTGAATGGCTACTACTGGGGTATTTGGAGTATTCTAATGATTGATGAGAAGAAAATAAATGATAAAATCTTCAATTTTGCCTTTGCTAAGCAAAGAATTGAGCTGACTCAGCATCTTCTGACTCTTGATTTCATAAGAGAGGCTGTTGAGACTAAGGAGAAAAAGTATAAGGAAGCCCAGTAATTTATCGGTGAACATATTTTTAATTCAGCATGTCCCAGTAGTACCGGGGTTTTGGGGTTTTGGGGTTTTGGGGTTTTGGGG